AAAAATCACATATAAGCCCGTGTACGCACTCGTCACCTCGTGTACACGTCCTCCACATAATACAAATAACACAATAAACTCAAATCTTAAGGGGAAGTTCCCCCATACAAAATTAGGCAAGATACTTACCTCTACTAGGCCAAATCAACCCTAAATAATTGCTTTTCCCCGAAAATTGGCCTCCGCACGACTCAAATCTAACAAAAATATGAATCAATATCATCAAACAATGCAAGAGAAACCAGTTACAATAGATAAAGCTACGATCTTTACACAATTTTCCATAAGTCAATAAAAATCAATCTCGGGCCCGCCGATTAAATTCTGAGTCCAAGGGTTAATTCTGACTACCCTAACCCCACAAGTCTATATTTGAGTTTTATTTTCAAATGCGAGCCCAAATTGACTCTCAAAATCCAAATTTTTACCTTTCAAAACTTAGACAAAAATCCCCAAAATTTCTTCTTGATACTTAGGCTTTTGTATGATTTTGTTGAGAAAGTAAGTCATTTATTTATTGAGGTTTATTGGCATATTTTAGGTATCAAGTGATTTAGAGAAGATATGGAAGAAAACAAGTCAAAATGTGTTAAAAAGGGAAAATTTAACTACTGCTAGTGAATGCTCAATGCGATCGCAGAGAAATCCATGCGATCGCGTAAGTTGAGCTGACTGAAGTTGTGCGAATGCGGTTGAAGCTGTGCGAACGCGATGAAGAAAATCTGGTCAGCGGCTGGTCAAATGTTCTACGCGAACACGGTTCTCTCTATGTGATCGCGTAGCTTTGCAGAAGTTCTTAACCGCGATTGCGGTTCTCTATGCGATCGCATAGCTGTATAACCGGGCAGAAATTGGGTAGTTCTTGGATTTTACATTTTTGACCCCAAGCCATTGAATATACTATCCAACTCATTTGTAAAATATCTTAGGCAGTTTTTCGATATTTTGACACATCTTGACAAGAGAACACAAACTTTAGAGCTAGGGTTCTTGCACACACACTTGGGTCTTGAAGATTTGAAACATTTGGTTGAGAATTTCTTACCCATCTATGTTCATTTCTTCCCCTTGCTTTGTATGGAATATCTAAGTGTGTATTATTTTTCCCAACACTTGAATCTTGTTTATGCGAATATTCATATTTAAAATGTGGATTAAATATGTTGTTGTGATTATGTATTTAACGATTTTATTTATTATGAAGTGAGGTATTATTTCTTTAATTATTCTTGTTCTTTAATGTTTCCAATGGGATTAGCTAACCCTAGAACTCGCCCATTTACTTCGAATTAATTTTGGTAAGATATTTGGGGTTAGGAATGATTAATTAACAAGAACTTGAGGCTTTAACCCTCACTTTATAGATTGATTCTACCTAGGGATAGGATTGAACTACTTGTAGCCATATTCGGGTGTGCTAAATATCTTATTTGTTTTAGGGATAGTTCAATTAGGAAGTCTTGTTAGTCTTCGGAAGAAGCTAATATAGAATTATTACCTGAGGCAAATTAACATAAACTCGCTCGTATTTGTAAAATCGTGAAATACATTGGATCTTACTTGAGTGTAATTCCCAATGCATCCATACTTGTAGCCATTGGCCATTTTACTTGCTTTCTAGGTTAGTTTACATTTTCGCAACTAGTTATAAATATTTTCTCAAAACTTTTCTAAGTGTTTGGCTTAACATAATAAGTGATAATTCTCTTAGACGCATAATCGCCTACATATTATTCTCTGTGGGATTCGATCCCGAGTGGGTAAATTATATTACATGAAACCGTGTCCATTTAATTTTTAGTAGTGGATTTGGACGTCGTCAGAAATCCCGACTCCCAGCCCTTTTGTTCAGTTGAAAATATTGCAATTGCGACACTGGGTTCACAATTGCGGACCCACGCAATTGCGAAGTAAGACTTAAAAATGTGGCAACTGTCAAGACCACGAGATGTCGCAATTACGACGCAAACCTCACAAATACGAAGTCTGCCCTCCTCGCAAATACAACTAAATGGTCGTAGTTGTGAACTACTCAACTTAAGCCTTAGCTTCGCAAATGCGAACTAGCTATCACAATGGCGATATCGGAGCCCCCCATGTCATGTTCCCAATTGCGATGCCGGTGCTCGCAATTGCAACAACTGTAGCACCAGCACACCAGCAACCTGTATTTGAGTCCAAACCTTCCCGAAAAAAGTCTGAAACTCACTCGAGCCCTCGGGGCTCCAAACGAAACATCCACACAAGTCATACGAACTTGCTCTCATGATCAAAACACAAAAATAACATCTAGAAGTACGAATGAGACATCAAAAAGCATGAATTTCAAAAGAGAATTCAAGAACCTCTAGAATTGCAACTAAGAATCTGAATCCTATCAAACAAACTCCAAATGACACCAAATTTTTCGGACAAATTTCAAATAGAAAAAAGGATCTATTCCAAGTCCCAAAATAAAATTCCGAACCTTATAGCCAAAATATCCAACCTATGGTCAAACTTGGAAAAACTTCTAAACCTCAAATTGCCAACTTTTCGGCAAAACAAGTCAATTCAACCTAAGGACATCCGAATCCAATTTTCGGCATGCCCTCAAGTCCAAAATCATGATACGAATCTACCGGACCCATAAAAATACTGTCCCAGTGTCGTTTTCACAAAAGTCAAAGTTTGGTCAACCTTTTCAACTTAGGCTTCTAAACCAAGAACCAAAGGGTCCAAATCACCTAAAACCTCTCTGGAACGGAACTAACTAACCCCGCTAGTCATAAAACGATAAATACACATGTATGAAGCATCAAAAAGGAAAAAGGGGCTCCAACACATAAAACGACTGGTCGGGTTGTTACATTGATCCTTTTTCCTTTTATAACTTAGGACATTCTTCCATTGATGCGTTCCAAGTTTCAAATTCATAGTCACGTTCCCTTGCTTAAACGTTCATCCACAAAATATTCCTCCTTTTCTTCCATTAAGTCGTTGTAAATGTTATTCAATTTTATAGAATATCTCACTTCCATTTATTCTCTCATGGCTTCATCGCACAATATCTTCTTTTTCATATTTGTCTGGAGCTTTACCAAATTATTCTTCATATAGTAACCTTGGGTTTCTTCGGTATAAAGATATTAGTAATCATTAATTATCTCCACAATTAGAAGAATATTTTGAACTATGAATTTTGATACCAAATCAGTCTAAATCACCTCCAATCTTTTTCAAAATTTGTATATTGACTCATCTATATGTTTTCAATGAATTTCAACCATACCCATTGAAAAATATCTTCTTTTTTTTCTTGCTTAAAATTTTGGAATCTTGTATAAATATATATATTTTTTATATTTTATCATCTTATTTGCTACCTCGTCCATGAAATTTTCTTTCCGTCTTGCATCCAATGTTACTGATCACGCTTAAAAATATGGAAGCAGATTTTTGCGTGTGATTCTTGGAGAGAAAAAACCTTATTTATTTGAGTTTTTAATTTTCATATGTGCTTGGCTAGTTTTGGTAAGTCTGTGATTAATGGCTAGAGGTCGGTAAGTTGGAACTTATTTGGGACATTTATGTAAGATTCCCTTAAAGATATGGAAGAACTTTCCTTCCATAATTTTAATCTTCCTTGCTTACATTTTCGCTCATAAATTCATCACATGATATTTCCTTTCCCATATTTGTTTGGATCTTTACTAACTTCTTTTCCCTTGAATAAATCTGTGCAAGAATAAAATTACCACAAATAAATGTTGTTTAATTAATAATTATATTGGTTTGTTATCATCAAAATTAATATGTGAAACCTTTAAGCTAACACCTTGTACAACAATAACGTAAAAATTGTGTGGGGTAGCCACTTTTTAAAGTGGTATTTACTTTTTATCCAGTATTTTTAATGCTTAGCAATAGTAGCCACTAGTCTATCTCTTTCATGTGTCGAGTTAGGTTACTGCGTCGAGTTAGAGGACTACTCAAGCAGGCACGCCTCCCATCTGATAAATTCATTCTTATCCAGTTTCCAGTCAGCAAGACATATTAAGTTACATGGGATCATAATCGCTCCAACTGCAGTGTTGGAGGATATATACTAACTTTAAAGGAGGTGTAGTTGAAAGAACCAGTAATTGATAAAGAGTACTAATTTATATTTTAAAAATGAATTGCATACTACTGACTTTGGAAAGCCAAACTTTAAACAGAATTAAGTTATTATATTCGAGGTGTGAAACTTTTTCCTGTATGAAAATTTCACTTAGATAAAAGGCAGTCCTTAACTTACAGTTACAAGTTCTAAAGTTAAGGACAGGCAGTCCTTAACTTATAGTTACAAGTTTAAAAGTTAGGACAGACAGTCCTTAACTTACAGTTACAAGTTCAAAAGTTAAGGACAATAGGTCCTTAACTTTGATTTCCAAGTTCAAAAGTTAAGGACAGACAGTCCTTAACTTACAGTTACACGTTCAAAAGTTAAGGACAATAGGTCCTTAACTTTGACTTACAAGTTCAAAAGTTAAGGACACTTTGTCCTGAAGTTTGAGTTCCAAGTTCAAAAGTTAAGGACATGTAGCCCTGAAGTCGTGAACTTAGAGTTACAAGTTCAACAGTTAAGGACATGTAGTCCTGAAGTCCTGAACTTACAGTTCCAAGTTCAAAAGTTAAGGACATGTAGTCCTAAAGTCCTGAAGTTAAGTACAAAAGTTAAGGACATGAGCAGAAGGGTATTTTCGTCCGGGCAGTTAAAGTTTATTAAAGTAGTGGGTAAAGACTAATGATATTTTAAATAATGACTTAAAAGTAAATACATGTGCTATTAGTGGCTAACCGTGCACTTCCCCAAGAATAACACGCACAAATTGAGAAATAGTCCAAAATTGATAATAAGCATGCTAAATTTTTCCGTGCAAATATTATACCGAAAAAGAAGATAATCCATGGGATATTTTTGAGGAATTCCTCACAAAATACAACCCCCAAAAGCTCGACATAGACATTTAGCTACTTAAATTTCATTCTATAACAAAAAAAAAGTGTAAACATATCCAAAATGATTGGACTAAAGTTCATCTCTATGGCTAAGCCTCGCAAAATACTTGCATCTTCATCTCCACCCACGGACCCTTCACCTTTTCTTCCTTCTCCTTCTCCTTCACCTTCTAATAACTTAAACGCGCCACTCCTCAAATCCCAACCAAGACTGGAGCTGCAGAAGAAAAAGAAGCAGAATCAAAGGCGACTTTCAGTTGCAGAGATTGAAAGAGCCATTGGTGCTGGCATTTTCCGAGACAGAGATACCAGCAGGCAAATACCTTTTACTTTATCAAACCAACTACTATCTTGGTGTTGCTATTTTGCTCAATCTTTCTGTAAAGCTTGTGTATTTTAGGAGATATATATATATTATCACTGTTTATACCTTGAATAGTTTAAGTAATATCTTCTAAATTCATTAAAAGAAAATATTCCAAATGTAATGGTAAATGGTTGTTCATATCCATGTATATAATGTGTTAAATTTACTGTTTAATCATAGAATCGGTTTCAACACTTACTAATGTGTTAAATTTGATCATTTTGGTTTACATACTTTCTCCTAGCAAGGGAGCAAATAAATTTAAAAAGCAGAAGATACATAAGTGTATTCAAATATTGTCTAGCTAATCTAAGAAAAGATTGATTTGTTAAGGGAAGCAAAGGAGAGCAAGACTTTGTTTGATTCAATTTTGTCAAATTCTGTTGGGGAGAATGAAGGAGATGTGGAAAAGAAGCTAAGGGAAACTGGTGAATGGCTTATTGATAAAACTGAAGACACATCTGCCTCTGCTGGTAATAAATTCTTTTTATATTTACTTCTTTTATTAATTACTTAACAATCTTGAATTTTTGTTTGTTGTCACTTGTCACAGGAAAGAAAATTTTAGTTGTGGTGTTCAAATGGATTCTACCCTTGTGGATTCTTGCATTTCTTGTGGCTTCTGGGATGGTCAATCTACCATTTAGCACCCCATTTCTTGATGACTTACTTCTGTAACTCATACAGACTTTATGTTACTTCCTCTTTTATTTATAAAATACTAGTTTCTCGGCACGTGCGTTGTATGTGTATGCCAAATCATATCATTTATATATTATATATTAAACAAAACTTTGAGTAAATAAGTAAAAATAAAATATTAAAACCCAACTATTAAAGATGATTGCATGTCTTTTGAACTTATGAAGATAAACAATTAAAGTTTAATTCGATATACGTGATGTCATTAGTAATTACAATATAAATGACTAATGAGTATAATAAAAATTAAAAATAATATCATATTCATCAACCGTTATTATTGGCCTAATTAAAGATATTTCGTGCTTTGGATTTTTTTTTTATGATCTTACTATCCCTATTCGATTTACTAATATTTTTATCACCCTGTTAAATAAATATTTCTCTAGCATTTATGAGATAAATATGGCTTTGCTAATTCTACTTCTGTTGGCGATCATTTTGATTAAATGAACCTGAGATAGTTAGGTGCAGAAAGCAATAATTGTATGACAATAATAATATAACTTAGGTTATGTACTTTCCATTACGGTGGATATTCTTGTTTCAAATATTACATAATTTAAAAACGAGTTAAGAAAATCAATACCTTGCGCGGATATTACGTATTATTATTTTTGTTAGTATATAGAAATAATTCTACTTAGTAAAAAGTGTAAATATTATCAATTTTGTGACTGAATAAGTCGAGTAACCTATTAAAAAAATATATAACAAATTTACATAGGATGCATTATTAAAAGATACAAAAATTCATTCAACATATTCTTGCAAATTAGTGTACGTCACGACTTAATTAGTAACATATGGTAATACAAAACTTAGGAACGTGAATGCATACAAATCACAAAATACCATATGTGATAATTATATATGTGCATTAAATCATGCTTTTTTTGTGCGGTTAAAATCACAATTAGTGAATGAACGACAAATATTCATTGATAATAATATCTCTTTGAGTTATGCCCATAGAAAATACTACAAATAATTTTTTATAAGGGACCCGCTTTTAATAAATTATTGATGTGGTACTGTAAAAAAAATGTGTAATTATAGATTTTTCTCTTGAGGTTATATACGATAAAAATCGATTAACTAATAGCCAGAGTGATGACTGAGGAGACCACTATATATTCAAGTGCGAACACTTACAGAGGTCATACGAAGTATATATTAAGTTTGTATTGACTTAGCAATAATTTCAATAAGGCCAGACATAAAAATTATCAGAAAACTAAGTAGTCTACTTTTATCGAAGGCTACATCAGTATAATGAATGAGTAACTTCTGGAGCATAGTAGAGTAAAAACGCTTTGAAGTCCAATCTTAAAATATAGCATGAAAAATTAACTTAAATACGAAAAAAATGAATGTGAAACTCGCCTGAAGTTATTCTGTAAGTAATTATTTATCTCAACATTTTTTAGCGCTCTCCAATTCAAAAACAAAAATCAAATACCTTTTGTGAATAAGGTAGAGGTTCTAAAGTAAACTGTCCATAGTGATAGATTCCATAACTGAATTGACTATTTTTGCCTTAATGCTTCAATATACACCAATTCCTTAAAATCAAATTAAGTTTTTGGCCATTGCAAATCATCCCACCAATACATAAAAGATCTAAATCAGGGTTAACCAAAAGTTTCACAAGAAATAGAGTATAAAGATTAATTACAATCATTAATGTGATCTACCATATGGCTTGAATCCGCTTCTCATTAGCAAACAAATTTTTTTTTTTTTTTTTTTTTTTTTTTTTTTTTTTTTTTTTTTTTTGCATTATGACCAATGAGAATGTAGTGTAGCCCTTTTCAATTTCGCAATATCCTTAACAAATTGATACAATAATTTCTCAACTACATGTAAGCACGTAATTTTTGACCAGTCACGTTTTTAAGCTATTTTTAGTGTAAAATATTTATTTAACTTTACTTCAAATTACAATTTAAAAACACAAAAATATTTTTCATATTTAGTTTGAGTTCAATTAGTGTATTTATATTTATAGTACTTACCATGACTTTACCTATTTTCTTTAATTTTTACTTTATTATAATATTTGAAAATATAAAATTTTGTCCCATGCCATAACATAGTTTATTTTTTAATTAATTAGAAGTGATTTTACATTTTATAGGTACTTTATATTATTGTACAAGAAGATTTGGGTTCATAATTAGTAAATTTTGATTTTTAGCCTAATTTTAATCCAACAAGATATAGACCCAACCCAACTACCACAAACTGAGCCCAATATCGATTGACCCATCAATCATTTGAGCCCACAACCTTCTTATGATCCCTAAATTAAACCTAATTAGACACACAAGAGAATGGAAAAACGGCAGCACCCCCCTAAATAGGATATCATCTATTTGAACAAAAAGGAGAGTCAGCCGAAAAAAAAATCCAACAAAATTTACATCCATATCCAAAACTTGACTAACCTATCTTTGATCCAAAAATACACACACAAATCCAAAGAATACTGATTCCAGCCGCTACACACAGAAGAACGAACATAGAGCCTCACTGTTCCGTCTTCTTCTCCGGCGAAGAGCCTCACCCTCTCCTTTTCAGCGCTGTCGTCGGCGAACCAGACGACCACCTCTGCAAAAAACACCATAAAATCTCTCACCTTTTGCTACCATTTACGTCACCCTGAGCTCTATTTTTACCAGGAAAGAAACTCAAAAACCAGCAGGAGTCCCTTGGTTTTGTCTTTCTGGTTTAGTTCGAGTTTCCTGGCGAGCTTTGAAGTCGTCGGAGGTCGTTGTCCAAGGACTCCGTTTCAGTCGTACGTAGAGATCTTTGGTTTTCAATGGAGTTCAATTGAGGCTGAATCGTGTGTGACCTGTTTGGAGCTGACGAGTCGCGATTTCCCGTCCAGTTTTTTCGGTCCGGGTTTCAACTCATATATGGCTACTGTAATCGGAAAGGCTATCACCCTTTGAGGTCAATTTCTTTCTCTAATTTTAAATCTCTTTATATTAATCTTTGACGACGACGTTACTGCTTCTGTTTCTGTTGCATTCCATGACGAGTCTTCCACTTTAATTGAATTTAATGTCTTTTTTTTGTGGTTTTGTTTTACAAGTAATTTGATTCAAAAACGATAAGAAGTTGGGGTATTTGTTTGGGGTAGTTTCTGATTTGGATTTGAGACGAAAGAATCAGTTAATAACAAGCAGTTGATCTTTGGTTTTCTTTTTTAGCTATTGAATTTGCTTTAAAGCTCTCCTCCATTAATTCATTTGTTTATCTTAGTTTGAAGAAATTGGACTTTAAGTGGTTATATCGCTCTTATTTATTTTGTTTATCTTATTTTGAATCCGGTAGGAGCTTGTTTAGGCCGACCACACTCGGGTAGGCAACCTTTAGAATTTTCGACGTTCGCGTGGGTTCCAAATTAAGACCAAAGTACGCGTTCGCACAAATTTGGGCGAAACAATCTTAATAATAATAATAATAATAATAATAATAATAATAATAATAATAATAATAAATTATTATTAATTGTGTACAAGTTCGCCTGACACGACTATGGTTTAAAAATTTATATTCATAGAAAATGCTTGTTTACCTTGAAAATGGTAATTACAATTATATTTGATTTTGTGGTTCTAAAAATACGTGATTTATTTTTATGCTAGTTTTTAGACGGTAGATGGTAAGTGAGAGATTAAAAAATAAGATAAGAGCTTGAAGATAGTGTAACAAGCAAACCAAGCAACTTGAAATCGGGGTCTCGAGCTGGCCTATGCGGGGCCTCGAGGTCGAGCTGGATGCTTAGCTAAGGGCACTCGATGAAGGACTAACAGTTCTAAAGGCCTTGATGAGGTCTCTTTATGATCAGTAATGAGCAATAAATGAAGAAAAATAAATGAAAAACAATAAATGTAAGTAATAAATGTAAGCAGTAGAATCAAGGGATAACGTGTTTAAGTTAGAGAGCAGAGAATGTTTTTGTTCTTGTATTCAATATTGTGTTGTGTATTCTTTTATAAAATGGCAGGGGTTCCCTTTATATAAAAGGGAGAATCCCAACGTAGTACAAATGCATTTATTACAAAGGTACGTGGATGGTACAACCATTTACTGCCATGGTATAGGCTTGTACTAGCTTAATAGATTTGGTCAGCTTCAATCAAGTGCCTTGGGAATCCCCCGCTTTCCTATGAGTGCCGTCGATCTGCACTGCCTCGAGGTCGAGCATCGAGAGGCTTCAGATATCGAGCCTCGAGCAGAGCCTCGAGTTTTCTAGGGATGGTCTCGCGAAGTGCCATAATAACCATAAAATCGGACTCCCTGATTTTAGCCGTATAAAGATAGTCCCCATATTTCTTAGAATGAAAATGATAAGAAATGGCCTTGACACCGATTCCCTTGATCCTCTCATGATGGCATCCTGCATATGACGTAAGTTTTGGTGATGACTTAAACGTCCCGTCATTTTGCAGACCGAAATGGGTAAACATGTCGTGATGGCGCCTAGTCTCTACAACTAGGTAAGCCTAAAATGCGGAAAACAAAATAACTTGCAGAAAATAATAATTCAACTTTGAACAGTTAAAAGAAAATACGGTGTATAGATGCCACTTGACATATACAATTCCATAACACGGAAGTCTATAATATCATCCCAAAACCCGGAAACTCACGGGAACACAAGCTAACAGAATGAGTACACTACTCTAACTCCAGAATGTCTAAAACAACAGTAAGAAACGAAGGATATCTGCTAAAGCTAGAATAAGATAGAGACTCCTTGGTCTGCGGACGCGGCAGATGTACCTCGAAGTCTCTGCTAGATCTCTCTGCCTCGAGGATGATACGCCTGGGTGGAGGTACCTGGATTTGCACATGAAAAACATGCGCAGAAGGGGCAAGAGTACACCACAGCGGTACTCAGTAAGTGCTAAGCCTAACCTCAGTTGGGTAGTGACGAAGAAGGTCAGGGCCCTACTGAGGTTAAGTAATAATACATGTTAACAATGTGAAATGACAGTGTAATTAAATAACACATGATA